TGTATAGGGATTTTCAAGGACTCAAAATTGCTTTACAATATAAGGGAAGGTTAGGGTGGGGGGTATAGGACTATCAAACTTGATCAACCGGCATGGATTGATGAGGGGGGGGATATGAGTAGACAAGAGGAGAAGAGACGAGTTTTGAAAAGGGACTGGAATACTGTGAGGGTCTCAGAATAGCGGAGATCTTTGCATCGATATGTTCAAAATGTAAAAAAAAATGTCTAAAAATTATAAATTGTGAACAATTAAATATAAAATATTTCTAGTGTGAACCAAAATATAATACTAAATATTATACAAGTGATTTTTCTTAACCAAAATGACAAAAATGGCATAAAAAAACATATTATTCTAATACGGGTCCTTTTTGACCCACTTATGGAAGAGTGTGGGGTCCAGTCACTCTCAGGGCATCGAAGGGTTAAAAACAGTTTTCAGCCAAAGTTAGTGTTTTTCATTTCCAAACATGTTGCTCTTGTTATATAATATAATAAATTATTATAATATAGTGATCATATTTCACCGGCACAATTACGGTTTATTTTTCTTCTTCCTCAATGATTTTTTAAATATGTATTTTCACTTTTTGATGTGTTTCTTTTTAATGTAACTATGTCTCAAAGTATCAAAGAAACCAAATCATTACACCTATTCTAAAACCGTTGTAACTTTTGTTTGTGCTTATTTGTCTTCCGCTTCGTATATTCCCTCTTTCTATTCCTCTTGAAGCCTCAGTTTATTAAAAGACATGTATAAGTTAGGTTTGCTTGGTTGTGTGCTGCACTCTTATGTTCCTCACCCTGATCTGGGGACGGAGGAAGCTCACTGAGATCGACCGCTTGTCCTTTCTCCAACGCCTCGATCATCACATCGAACCTCTGCACAGAAACAACACAACAAACCAAAACTGTGTCAAACATAAAGACGGTTCTGTCTCCTCCCAAATTGTTGGCATGTTTCACATTCTCCAGAGGAATCCTTTAGTCAGAATATGCAGCGACCGGCTCAGACAAGAGACTGAACACATAGCTAGCAGTTTTCATATTTAAACTTCATTTGTCTTATTTGTTGAAGTTTGATATTGATATATTAAAATAAAGCATTAAGAGACATACAAACATCTTAATTGGTTTAATTTCATGACTAATGTGAGGTATATGAACTCAGACAAGATGTTGAGATAAACTATAAGATCTTAATTAGAAACAACTTTCTTCAGCATTAACCACAAATGCAGCGCCTGCTACATTCCTACAGCAGAAACTTGCTCTCATAAACCTTGTCTGAATGTTTGTTTCTAGTTGCAGCAGGAACAAGTCTTTATATAGCATTTAGCTTGTAGGGATATACATATAAGGACATCACAGACAAAATCAAGGAAATGATCTACTCCATCAAAATCGCAGTTCAGCAAATATATGTGTATTTAATCATAAGGAAAAGACAATAGTGATTAATCTTGCTGTATGTTGTCAAGGATGTTATCACATTGACTGCCTGAATACGTTTGTAAAAAGCACTGACCCTAATTTTATTTGGCTCTTAATATAAAATATGTATGTTGTTTTAATCGAGAAAAAAAAAAAAAATCCTCCAGATTCTACAAGGAAGTTGTCCGGTTACACATTATCCCATTAGTTACCTATTGAGCACATTTCACCAATCAATTGTATTCACTGAGGAAGAAATGCTGCCACGCAACAGAGAAACCTGTTTTTAGGAGTCAAATGTATTCAAAACGATGCAGATAGAAATCTGTGAACAGGCTGTCCGCTGTCATGTCCATTCGCTCACCTTGCCGGCCTTGAGGTGAAGTCTTGCTTGCTCCACATCTCCCTGCTTCTTGGCTCTCAGAGCTGCCATCTTGTATTCTTTCTGCCTCTCCAGAAGCAGCGTCTTGGTCGCCTCGTTCGCTGTGAATTCACCGGGAAAGAAATGCAGAACAATTACGACAATGAAAGACACACATTCATCGAGGAGAGGAGAGAGAAGCTTCCAATGTGATGTGTGCAAAGAGTGATGAAATTCAGAGGCGGAAATTAAACTAAAGTTCATATTTTTTAAATAAAGTTACTTAGGCTAATTTACCAATATTTGAATAAGTTAACTTTTAAATGCTCTCAAATTTAGCACAACAAAATATTTTTCCTCTGATAACCTGTTTTTTTTGCAAACCTTTAAGGTGATGAGTTTTCAAAATGTCATGTATTTCTGTACTTTTCAACACTGTCATTGCATCCTGTCACTTCTGCAATGATCCTTTTCAAATCTGAATGTGACAACCCCTTAAAAATGCACTTTAGTTACTATCTGCTTTCTGGAGACACCAATAGTTTGACTTTTACTCTGTTGCGCTGGTCTTAGGGAATTGGAGTGTTTTTGCAAGGAGGCTCATTTGCATAGAAGGGGCCACTTTGGAGCATTTAACCTCATTTGCTAAAAGCACAGGAGCACTGGGATACTTCCTGCTTTGCAGCACAGATTGTCTGCATTTCACCTTATGCCATTTTGTCTTATTTGTGCAGGTTGAGCGGCCGAAAAAGCTGGACAATCTGTTTGTGAATGTTCTCAGTTGTGCTTTGATCGAAGTGGAGCATTGAGGGGAAAAGGGCTAGTGTAACCCTTAGCATTGTTTTAATTGTAAGCTAAGATATTTGACTCTTTGATTCTCTTATCCCCAATATACTAACGGGTATATCTTTGTGTAATCACACGGACCATCAGAGGGACTGCTCTGAGCTCGGTCTGCAGGCTCCTCTGGAGAGGGGACGCTGCTCAGAGGCAGGGAGGAGGACGACTGCTCCTCTTCACTCGGGGTGATGATCTCCGGTACAGCAGGCGGTGGAGTCGTGACCTCCGACCCCCCCTCCTGATCTGAGGGACAGGGTTCAGGAGGCGAGGGGACGGGGGGAGGGGGGCGACGGGCAGCAGGAGGAGGAGGGGCGGCACTCGGCGCTCCACTGGCGACCGGAGGAGGGATCTCTGCCTCGTTCACAGGTTTCCCTTTTTTAACGGCAGCGACCATCGACTGCAGCGTCTGTAGAAAACATCACCATCAGTATCATCTGGACTGTAATGCATTATGGGTAATGTGTCACTACACCTCAGTAATTCCAGGCACAAATTGCCAACAAAGAAATTAGTAAACTTCTTAAATCATGGGTTTTGAGAAGTGACTTCAAAGATGACAAACAGCACGATGTCTTTGAGCTAAACTATACCATCCTACAAATCTGTAGCTGTTCAATCAATGTTTATTTATATAGCCCAATATCACAAATGTTACATTTGTCTCAGTGGACTTCACAGTTTGTACAGAATATCAGTATGACAATACGACACCCTCTGTCCTTAGACCCTCACATCGTACAAGGAAACACTGTTGGGCATGTTTAGTGCAGCTCAGTACTCATATACAGAAAAGGCCTTTATTGAGTACAAGTAAACTGCTTTTATTTGTACTCTTGAATATGAAGAAAAAACTTCAGTTTGGACATCATGAATAGATGAACTATTTACAAAAAATACATCAAAAACAAGGATTCTACAGAACACTATGCAGCAGCGAAAAATAAAAAATACATGAAATGATCCTGTTTGTTATTATATTGAATCGTGGGATTTAGCTGACATTCTCCAGTATTTTAACAAAGATATTATCTGTTGTGAAGTAAAAAATATTGGTACCACAAAAAATGAAGCAAAGCACCCTTTAAGCTAATGACTTTATTCATCGTTAATTAATCATTTGAAATATGACTTTAACTCAGACTGAAAACGTTGCTGTAATCCTGCACCATGAGCATGATTCTATCTATAGATATATCTCTATATCTAAACCTTGTCATCAGGCCGTATTTTGACTCACCTTCAGACCTCGATCGAATCTCCTGGCTTTGGAGGTCTCCTCTGCAGTTTCAGCGTTCTGTAGAGCCGTCCTGTACATGACGACTCTCTCCTCCAGGGTGTGTTGGAGGCTGCCGGGGGCCGCAGAGGAAACCTTTACTTCCTGCTTCAACACAACAACAGAGAAGAAGTGTCGACATTGTCTGAAAACAGCTGGTTAATATTCTACACTATGGGTAATTCTCTTGTTTAAGTGTTGTGTAAGTATTTGAAGTAGACTGAAACACAGGTGTCAGGATGTGTGTTTAAAGGAATGTAGATTTACTAGAAAGAGTAGAACAAGTCTCAAGTGCATCTATTCTACCAGCCATGTTATTAAGTAAACAACTGTTGTTTAGAGACATTTATACTAAGAAAATACAGGGCGGAAAGGGGCATTAAAGATGATTAGGCAGCTAAGAATGTAAAACAGCAAATACATTTTCCTTTTCTTGTTACCAGTAGCTAACATATTGGCATGTATTTTGGTGGCTGAGGGTGCAGGTGTGCCAGAGATCAAACGGTGAATCGAACCTGCGTCAGTGACTCTGGTGTTCCGGCTTGAGGAGA